GTTTCAGCGAGAGTACAAACAACCACTCTGTCTCACTTTTATCGATCTGAAGAAAGCCTTTGATTCAGTGGAAACAGAAGCGGTCATAGAGGCTCTGGATAACCAGGGCGTCCCTACTCGGTACATAATGATCCTTCGTGAGCTTTATAAAGATTTCACGACCGAAATATCTCCATTCTACAACAACATCACCATTGACGTAAGAAGAGGGGTTCGACAAGGCGATACAATATCGCCAAAACTATTCACTGCCACCCTACAAAGCGTCATGCGAACATTAGAGTGGGACGATATGGGAGTGAAAATTGACGGTCGACAATTAAACCACCTTCGCTTTGCTGACAATATCGTTCTCATAACACCAAACATCAGCCAAGCGGAACGAATGTTGACCGATTTCGATAACGCCTGTGGAAAGATTGGTCTTCAACTAGATCTAACGAAAACGATGTTCATGAGGAACGGATGGGTTTTAATGCCCCATTCACGCTCAACGGAACGACAATCTCCGAATGCTCCAGTTACGTCTATCTGGGTCGGGAAATCAACATGATGAACGACCTAGCTCCAAAGCTGAGCAGGAGGAAACGAGCCGCTTGGGGAACGTTTAAGAGCATCGAAGATGTAGTGAGAGGACAAAGAACACCCGACTCCGTGCCCACCTTTTCGACTCGACAATTTTCCCTGCCTTAACGTATGCAGCAGAAACGTGTCGCTACGTAAGCAGGATGAAAGACACTTGGCGTTATCGAACGCGCAGTCGAAAGGTCGATGCTAGGAGTATCCCGTATTTCGCAAATAAGAGAAAGGATCCGAAGTTCCGACCTACGTCAACGATCGAAAATCAGAGACGCCGTTCTACACGTCAGGATATCAAAAATAAGGTGGGCCGGACACGTGATGCGCTTCAACGACAACCGATGGACGAGAGCCGTTACCGACTGGATTCCTCGGGACGTCAAGCGCACTAAAGGAAGACCACTGACCAGCTGGTCCGATTTCTGCACGAAAGCGATAGAAGAAAGATATGATGCTCAGCGAATCCCTAGGTCAAGGACGAACCCACTGGGCTACTCCTGCACGCGATAGGGAAAAATGGAAGAGTTGCTGGTACCCGCCCGAGTCACTCGACGGTCAACGGGACGACAGGTGACAGCTGATACAGGTGATATACCGCGTTATGAATTCCTCATTGAAGATTGTCTCCTCTAAGGATTGTAGAAAGACTGCATGGTAAAGGATGAACCTGCTATTGTTTAACTAGCCCATACTTTTCTTTGCGGTTCGGGTGGGAATTTGGTCAATATTTTGGTATACATATATTGACTGTTGCTATGCTCATCCTTTTAAGCTAACTGGGAGAGTATGGCCTGTACGTTCTCGAGTAGTACCCTTTGGTCATTTATGGCCTTCGAACGAAGCAAAATTCTAACTTCTGGAGCAGTTGCGCGATAAACGCTTCTGCATTTGCATATCTGGAGGTGAGAGCATGGATGGCCTCTTGATAGTTATCGCTGGTGATTTGGAACTTTTCAATGGCCTAGAGGGGTTCGCCCTTCAAAGAGCAAATAAATAGCTGAACTTTTGTTTTGAGACATTTTGTGAATGGACGTTTGAATTGTAGAGTTCCCAAAAATTGTCGCAATCCCAGATGTCGCCATTAAACGTGGGGATAGGTATCGTTGGAAGTTCCATTTTTAAACAATGGGTGTTTCCATAGTTTCCTCTTTTTTGGTGCAACTGGGAGGTTTGTGAATGCTCCGCTTGCTGCCGTAGTGAGTCAATTTGCTTAGGAAAATGGTAGTATACTCAAAGAGTCGTCTAACAGTTGTTGAGAATAGGTCAAGGTGTCCCTATAATTCTGTTCAACATCTGGGTCAGAATATATTTTCCCTAGTTTCTCAAGAAAAATATTTAGGCCTTTTTGCACGTTGCTTCTCATTTTCTCAACTACAGATAATCCAGCTTCACATTGGACCCTTGTGGCAGTGAGGTTCTGCAATGTTGTGGAATTCTGTAATTGTATCTGCCTTGTTTGAATTTTACCAGCGCTTTTTCGAGTTCGCTCAGAGGCTTTTATGAGTGCCTCATTTTTGTGAGAAAGGACAAAACTATGTGTTATAGCTGCTCTAGTATGTTTGAATTGAATATTTGATATGGAATTCGGAACAGGTAACTTGGTATCTGATTCCTTTGACTGCAAGTTTCGTTGGCGACTCGTATTCGATCAAAGTCGGCCAATGCACAAATGTGGTGAAGGTTCAGTGGTTTTGTTGTTTTGATCTGCTGCCAACTTGTGTCTCGCAACGGACAAGAGAGCAGAGTTTAAATCCTTTATGTGGATTATACCAAACAATAGGAGGGAACTAAACAATGGCGTGTTACCAAACAACCTATAATATACTTGCATTACTATAATAATAATATAATAATGATATATTCATGATTACGAATGCATGCCTAAGTCAGTACAAGTACTAAGCGAACATATGCCTAAGTCAGTACGAGTGACCGATTGATGAGAGGTATCGTCATCCGACGATACTATGAATGTTATCGTAAGCGACAGTGTTATGGTAAGTGGTGATGTTATTGTGATGATGTTATTGAGTGACAATGTTATTGTGAGTGACAATGTTATTGTAAATGACGGAGCAAGACCAAGCGGCGGAGACCGTTTGGGGTTGCTATGTTCGCCCCGAAGTAGAAGCACCGGCGGCGGGATCCAGTGGGTGAGTATATAGTGTTAGCAGTGGGGTCACTACTGATTATATATAGGCAGAATCCCTAAACCGCGGTGGTGGGCCGAGCATAGCTTAAATGAGTTTGTTCCGCCACGGTAGCGCTCTGTTCCGCTCACGTTGCCTGAATTATCATGTAATTCCCGAAAAGATAGCAAAACTCCCTTGGGAGGTTTGCTATAATCACCACGAATCATCGTGAAGGCCAGATATGCATTCAATCACCTCAGATGACATCAAAAATTTAAGAAGAATGCATGGCGCATCTCTCAGGGAATGACCCCGAGAGCTTTATTCTTTATTCTTTATAACACTGTGGACAACGTCAATCAAAGGTGTTGGAGGAAATCCTTGTGAATCTATCACAATCAACTACTTACATGCATACGCGCACTGTAGTGGTTAGAGGTGCTCTGCAGTACATATTAGATCGTTCACAGGTTCAACCCACGCCCTCGAAATCTGCAAACCATATTCTAGCGATTCACTGATGCGAATCCTCTCTTGAGAGAAGGAGACACATCTGATTCATTGGTATAACATTCCATGCTACTGTTTAATCGAAACATATTCGACTACCTCTACAGTAATCAGTGAAGTCGAATAAAAAGCAAGATGCATCTAGAAACTTGTTGGCCGACTTTCGACAGATTTAGCTCCACAAATGCGATGCTTTGTACACAAACAAAATGTTGTACTCTAAGAGTGACATCAAGTCATGCTGCGCGCTGCTATGTGGTACATCCGAAGACAAAGAGGACAATATTCTGTTAATTGGCAAGCCGTTAGCCAATAGAATATCGCTGGTACAGTCTGGGTTGGATTTAGAGTGCCAAAACTGAATGTTGAGCAACGAAATGATCTCGAGTCGTTATTTTCAAGAAGAAGAATTAGCTTCGCCTTGATATCCATCCGAGTGGAGAAATAAATATCGAGACGAGAGCTCAAGTCGTGCATGTTTTGTGTTAAGTGCATCATTCCCTTTGGTAGTTTGTTACGTCGTCATGTGTTGTAATGAACCTTGAGTTTTTCCCTGTTGCATATTTTTGGTTTCCTTCTAACGTGTTAAATTTTTTTGTTAGAATTCAGCGCACTAAATCGGAGAGGCCCGTATTGAACTTGAAACTGCAGGCATTCTCACAACACAAGCCTGCTAACCATGTATGCTTATCAAGTTTATTCTGCCAATTTCTGCGGGTTTGGTGAACGAGCGTCTTACAGTTTATCTCTGCTGACTCCACATTCAGTGTTAGCATATCGCAACCGTGCATGAAATCTGAATACAGTGTATGATCAAATTCTATCTCAAAAAACTAATTCCATTTCCATTCTGCACTTAACTAATAGGTTAATAACTATTTGTGCTGTTCTGTAAGTGTTCTACTTCAATGACTATTGTTCCTAGATTACTTTTATGAGTGAGATCTCAGAGGGAATGACTGCAACAACCAATTAGAAACTTTAGGGTCATAGAGATCGGTTCTCATTTCATTATATCAACGTTTCGCAAATTTGAGGAAATCAGCCATCATTATGTCAGATAGGGGAGCTGTGGCCGAGTAGTTGTGATACTCGTCGAAGCGCGTGGGGTCTAGCCCCACCCCCGACAGTCTCCGGCAGTTAACGACAGACGTCCTATGGAACGTCACAGTCAAGCTATCCTCGACATTGCAAGGTGGCGGGCTCATTTAGTATTCTATGACGTTGAAGAAGAAGACGAAAAATGGCTGAATGCTAGAAGTTCTGAAATTGGCACAGTAAAAAAAGCACTATGAAGACGAACAATAAAGTGCCGAATGTTTGATAGGGGATAAGACAGACGTTTAAATTGTGATAGTTTCGAGTGATCGTAAGAGGTTTTCTTCCAAGAATTGACTGATTGAATTGCCAAGCAGTTGATAAGAAAAGACTAGAGAGGTAAACAGTCATGACATATCTATCCTATTTCTTGAAGCTGCTTCCAATATTCGTCCTTCATTAAGCATCGTAAAGGTGGCTAAATGCATATTTGGATTTACAGTGGGTACGTGCCGAGCAGTGACTAGACGTTTCCTGAAACAATTTTCCGTAACTAATATAAGGTCCATCATTCGCTAACTGATTTTGTAATCGAACTGCACTCACATCTGTCATAGATGTTGCCATTTCAAATAAAGGCCAGAAATGCTTGAAGGTATAAATATAACAAGCCCCTCTTTCACGGATATATAAGATATATCAACTGTATACCTAATAGAATTGAGTGGTGAACAAAAACGCGGCCTCAGGCAGGGAATCGAACCGGCGTTTCATCCTATCCGGGGATGCGTTCTCTAACCACTACACCACCGAGGCACATTTGGCCGACCACTCATTCTTCAACATCTCAATGTTAGCTATCAGCCACCAACCTTTGACAGGTTTGGTTGGGTATGCGATTTCGCTTTATAAACCCAGCTGAGCTGACAGCTATTTTAATTACTGATGATCGGAATTAATAGTGTTTCATGCATTTCGCATTGTTATGATGTTTTATGTTTGTTATGAAACGCGGGTTCGATTCCCGCCTGAGGCCGCGTTTTTGTTCACCACTCAATTCTATTGGGTATATAGAAAAGATCATAACAATGTGAAATGCATTGAAATACTATTAATTCTGAGTATATATCAACTGTATTAGAAATCATTTTGATAAGTGAAGAAGAAAGATGATTTTGCGTTGATGAGAAAGACGCTATCCATTGCTTATCATCGTTTACTTCAATGAATGTCCGGACCGATACAATAACTTGCTCTTTCTCTTGGTGTTTTAGTGCGTGAGTATTTATCATCCTCTCAAATGAGTCTGGTAGCAATGTGGCCGTTGGACGGCGAAAGAGGGGTCGCGGAGTGGTTGGCAACAGAGGCCACTGAAAAGCAAGATTCTGCTTTGACACCCCTCCATAACGTTTCTTGCAGCTCGAGAACATCTTAGTCCGGGACCTTTCTTAGATTGTAAGGAACTTCAACTCCACCAGCACCCTAGGAAATATAAGAAAGTTCTTAAGAAGCAGCCGAAACAGCACACAAAATGCTTGAGGACTGTTGAATGATGGATACGAGAAGGACGAATTGGATACAAGTAGTGCCGAAAACTCCGCACAGCACATGTGGTGACGGGTCTTACAAGTAAATAAGTAAATAATAATCATAACTCCAAGTTATAGTGAGGCTTCATTTGCGCAAAGAGTAGGAACGCAGTGGCGATCGTACGTATTGCAAAACACTTTGACCACTCGGCTACACCCTTCTCTCTCATTTGGTCAAGTGCGTGCTTTACGACAATTTTTTGTAATGTAGCTATATGCTTAGAAGCTAATTAGATAAGAGCGTTATGTCTTGATGATTTTACAGCGTTCACCATCATTATCAAATACAGTTTAGTTGAGAATAGGAAATAATTTGATGAGTGGACGGGACCTTTTCGGGATTTTGCTTGCTCCTAACCTTCAGTGTAATCTACCTCTTTAAGGTTCAAAAATGTCAAATTAATGCACAGTCTGCTCAGTCAGCAGCTCTAGTAAAGCTAAGAGAGAAATCAACACAGATCTCAAACAGCCGGCAAACACTTTCTTTGAAACGCTCACCATTTTTTGTATGCCTTCCACTTATTGATAAACACCAGCCACATAGAACTTAAATTTACGATGTGTCTCAAAGCTGACAAGGTGATAAAAACTGATTCTGAACTATATGTGTAGATACACTTGACATAATCAATATAATCCTTGATTGTTGCAATTCCACTGAAAAATACTACTTTATATTTTTTAACTTGAAAAATAATGTTTGTTGAAACTGACAGGTTTTGAATAAGTGTGCGATGTGCAATGCTATGAACAAATCAAGACGTCGTGCAGTGCAAAAGTTAGAGATGCTCTGCAGTACACATTAAATCAATCGTTGACTCAATCTCTCCAGTCGTTTTATCTTTTCTTCCATTACTTTTGCACTGACTAAGTACACTAGCAACGCCAATATAGTTCAGTATATAAAATGCCCAATAATGTTGAGTCATATGCACAACTTCAAATTTAGTCGGAAATCGAATCCACGATTTACATTTTTGGGGACCCGTGTTGACCAACTGCACTATCGAGAGTTCTGTTCCTCCATCACTTTCTACTGTACAAGGTATCTTATTTCGACAACCAAACCAACGCTGTAGCTTGATCAAAACGTCTCGACATTGAGCCGAATACGCAGACAGATATCAAAAATGAGTATTTGACAGACGATCCCTGTTTCTCTGTCTGTGTAGATGTAATTCAAATATGTATTCTACCACGTCTACGTAGCTTAATTAAGTGGAATGCATGGCGCGTCTCAGCTTCCACCTCTCCGAATTCATCAATAGATCAGCACCAAAAGAAATTTTGCCCTTAATTTTCGTTTAATAAGCAAACTTCAATAGCATTTCAGACCGTATTTCGCTTGGAACTCAGAGCAGAATCTTCTGCACGAACACCGATGCTGCAGCCTACGAATGAAGTAGATTCAAGCACAAATTAGCGTTTTATTTTTCGTAGATATAGCTAACTCTAGTGATTATAGCCTGATAAAAACAAAAAATTTGTTGATCAGCTTGAACGCTGGAGATGAATCAGTGACCAGATACTCTGGAAAGTTGCTTACTTCTCAATGCCTGCAGTAACGGAGGAGAACCTATATATAAGGTGCTTAAAATGTTCTGATAGTGTTTTCAGATATTTCAACAGTAGAAGCATGCTGCATCACCTGTATCACCTGTCGTCCCGTTGATCGTTGAGTGACTCGAGCGGGTACCAGCAACACTTCCATTTTTCCCTATCACGTGCTAGAGTAGCCCGGTGGGTCCTCCTCGCTCTAAGGATTCGCTGAAAGTCGGACCATCGGGTCGGTGGTCTTCCTGTAGAGCGCTTGTTATCCCGAGGAATAGAGTACGGTGAAGGTTCTCGTCCATCGATTGTCGTTCAAGCACATCATGGGTCCGGCCAACCTTATTTCCGATATCCTGACGTGTAGAACGGCATCTTTGATTTCCGTTCTTTGGCATAGGTCGGAACTTTGGATCCTTCCTCTAATATGCGAGATACAGGATACTCCTGGCATCGACCTTTCGGCTGTGTGTTCAATAACGCCAAGTGATCTTTCATTCTGCCTACGTAGCGACCAGGTTTTCTGCTGCATGCGCTAAGGCAGGGATAATAGTCGACTCGAAAAGGTAGGCACGGATTCGGATGTTCTTTGTCCTTTATACTACATCTTCAATGCTCGCAAACGTTTTCCAAGCCGCTCGTTTCCTCTTGCTCAAGGATAGACGTGACTGGAGCATTCGGAGACTTTCGCTCCGCTGAGCGTGAATGTGGCATTCAAAACCCATCCGTTTCCCATGCGCATCGTTTTCGTTAGATTTAGTTGAAGACCACTCTTTCCACAGGAGCTGTTGAAATTGCTCAACATTTGTTCCTCTTGGCTGATGTGTTATGAGAACAACATCATCAGCAAAGCGAAGGTAGTTTAATTGTCGACCGTCAATTTTCACTCCCATATCGTCCCATTCTAATGTCCGAATGACGTTTTGTAGGGTGGCAGTGAATAGTTTTGGCGGAATTGTATCGCCTTGTCGAACCCCTCTTCTTACGTCAATGGTGATAATGTTGTCGAATGGAGATATTTTGGTCGTGAAATCTTTATTCATCTGACAAACGATCACTAAATACCAATTAGGGACGCCTTGGTTATCGGGAGCCTCTATAACCGCTTCTGCTTCCACTGAATCAAGGGCTTTCTTCAGATCGATAAAAGTGACACAGAGCGGTGTTTGTACTCTTGTGAAGCTCTAATGAGTCTTATAATTGCGTGAATGTAGTCTATCAACTAAATCCTTTTCGGAACCCTGCTTGTTCGCATGCTGTCCTTCGTCCAGTGTTCTGTCAATCCTCTTTAGGATGACTTGAGTGAAGAGTTTACAGGCAATGGACAGCATCAGATTGGGCCTCAAGTGCCTATGTCGAGAAGGTATCCCTTTTCGAACAACAACACGGTCTTGCTGGTTTTCCACTGAACCTTGAATTTTGAAAGATGGCGAGTGAAGAGCCGAGCCACGGTGCTGAAGAGAACTGGCAGTAGGCTCTTCAGGTGTTCTGATCTAATCTTGTCTGGACCGGGTGTTGTTCTGTTCTTCACCGACGATATAGCATGTCGGATTCCGGAAGGGAAGACCGGCCGAACTATAGATTCATCTTCTTTTAATTTATATGACGGTAAGAGAACGTGGCTAGCGAAGAGTTTCGAGAAGTGCTGGTGGATGATTTTATTCATTGCTATTCTGGAAGCTGAAAGCGTCTCGATAGGGCATCGGAGGGCAATCAGCTTGGTCCTATAACTGGCGAGGCGCCGCTGGGCTTTGCAAATGCTCTTCCCGTCTCCTGCAGCTTCTACCATAACTGCTGCTCGTCTTTCTTTGAAGCCTTCTTTTGTCGCTTTTCTGCAGCGCTTCGCAAGTTCGGACGTAAGGTTTCGATTGTCTGCAGCTCGTGCGATCCCACGTTGACGTATCACCTCGAGTGTCTGCGGAGACTAGCGTCTCCATGTGACTTTAGGACTCTCGAATTTCATGGCGTTCACGTGAGGATATTCACCGAGCCGGTCGTATTCTTAGTCGATGTTGTCGACATCGGTATCTTCCCAAGAGCCGACTAGTGATTTGAAAACATCCCAGTTTATGGTAGTTCTGGGACATCGTTGCTTTAGTTTGACGGCTTTTTCTTTTTACGCGAAGAGCGCAACGTTGCAAGAAAGAGGGGATAGTCTGATCCCGTGTAGAACTTAGGAACAACACCGACATCGGTCAGGCAAAACCTTTGATTTACTAAGATGTGGTCTATTTCGTTATGGTGCTTCCGTTGGGAAATTCCCGAGTCCATCGTTGAAAGTGAGGCTTCTGCAATTGTTAGTTATGGTGGTTTGGGTTGTCATTATAAACTCAGATAACCTCACACCCTGACCATTCCATTCTAGTCCGTGGGCCAATGTGACGTCTTCAAACTTCTTCTAAATCCAATTTTCGCGTTAAAATCTCCAAGAATGACCTCGAAGAATGTATGATCTTCTCTGAAGAATTTTTTCGAGGTCCATATAAAACGTTTCGACTTCGTCTTCGTCACAGCTTGATGTTGATGCGCAAGCAACGAAGATGGTCAAAGCTGGCACTGAATCACATCGTCTCAACTGTGATCGTCCGATACGAGTTGTTAGTTGTTTCAAATGAATCAATGTTCACGGTCAAATTCGATTTGACGAGGACGCCAACGCCGCCGACACCTCTGCGATCG